CACGTCGCTGGATGACAGAAAGAGTTAGGGGGGACTTGATCACGCATACAAGATTCTCAAAGGAATTGATAGTTAGATAAAGACAGATCATTTGGCTTCACAGGCTTCCTCCTGTGTCCCCTAGTGTGTGTGCTCCTTGTGACAAGGGACACACACACTAGGGGACACAGGTGGAAGCTTGTGAAGCCAAATTGAGTGCTCAAATTAGCCACAGAGATATTAGAAAGAAATGTCCAAGTAGTTGACAAATGGAATGCATTAGGTAGTTAGGTGGTGGAGGCAGATTCCGTACACAGTTTGAAGTGTAGATATTATAGAGCCCATGATTTATCATGAACCCAATAGGTACATTCAGTTGATTGACGGTTGAAAGGCGGGACCAAAGACTCAAATCTCATCCCCCGCATGCACAACTACATGAGTACAACTTGATGGGTATACACACACATGCACTCACACACACACACACACCACCCACACCACACCACACACACACACACCACACACACAACACACACACACACACACTCACACACACACAAACACATACACCCACAAACACACTCACCACACTCACACACACACTCCGCCTCAATTCAGGAAGTATTAACAAGGCCACCAGTCCTTGACTGCACTTATTCCACCAGCAGTAATTGGGGACGTGGTTGCAAGTCGACCAGTGGGTTGTGTTTCATGAAAATGTTCTTTATAATAAATCTTACCCTGAACCAGATGCGTAAAACTTTATTATTTTCTTTCAATGGTAATTACAAGCTAAAGTAAAGCTTGGGAGAAGATAAGCAAAGTTAGAAGTAGAAAATTATAATTTGAAATAAAAAAATATGAAGATGGAGGCCATTAAAACTTGGACATACAAATGTAGAAGAAGGAAAACAAAACAGAGATAGAGTGAGATTGTAAGTGGTGTTTCCTCTCAATTCTCGAGAATCTTAATAGCGCTTGAGCCAGGAACAACGAAAGCTCCGGAACCCCAAAGAGCAGCAGCGGCAGCAGCAGTAACAGCAGTTAAATCCTCTGTAAGAAAAGCTGCTGAAACAGCCACAAAGGCAGTATCCGAGGCGAGTGAAACAAAGGCACCGCAAAGTGAGGCCCTCTCACTAGCAAGAGATATAACAGGTGCATCAGATGCACGAGAAGCAGAAAAAACAGATTTATACAAAAAAGGCGGGCCTAGTAATAGAAATAAGAGCAGTAGTAACAGCCAGAACAACAGCAGCAGCAGTAACAGCCAGAGCCAGAACAACAGCAGCAGTAACGGCCAGAGCCAGAACAACAGCAGCAGTAACAGCCAGAGTCAGAACAACAGCAGCAGTAACGGCCAGAGTCAGAACAACAGCAGCAGTAACGGCCAGAGCCAGAACAACAGCAGCAGTAACGGCCAGAGCCAGAACAACAGCAGCAGTAACGGCGAGAGCTAGAACAACAGCAGCAGTAACGGCCAGAGCCAGAACAACAGCAGCAGTAACAAACTAGAGCCAGAACAACAGCAGCAGTAACAACTAGAGCCAGAACAACAGCAGCAGTAACGGCCAGAGCCAGAACAACAGCAGCAGTAACGGCCAGAGCTAGAACAACAGCAGCAGTAACGGCCAGAGCCAGAACAACAGCAGCAGTAACGGCCAGAGCCAGAACAACAGCAGCAGTAACAGCCAGAGCCAGAACAACAGCAGCAGTAACGGCAAGAGCCAGAACAACAGCAGCAGTAACAGCCAGAGTCAGAACAACAGCAGCAGTAACGGCCAGAGTCAGAACAACAGCAGCAGTAACGGCAAGAGTCAGAACAACAGCAGCAGTAACGGCCAGAGTCAGAACAACAGCAGCAGTAACGGCCAGAGTCAGAACAACAGCAGCAGTAACGGCAGACAAAGCAGAGTCAGAACAACAGCAGCAGTAAAGGCAAGAGCCAGAACAACAGCAGCAGTAACGGCCAGAGCTAGAACAACAGCAGTAGTAACGGCCAGAGCCAGAACAACAGCAGCAGTAACAACTAGAGCCAGAACAACAGCAGCAGTAACAGCCAGAGCCAGAACAACAGCAGCAGTAACGGCCAGAGCCAGAACAACAGCAGCAGTAACAACCAGAGCCAGAACAACAACAGCAGTAACGACAGTAAGAACAGCAGGAGGCGAAGCAAAGGGGAAACATGTGTATATACATGTTCATAGACCATGACAGTACAAGCCAGTCGCTTCGCCAGGCATGTTCTGCAGAGTACAGGGTCGGGCAGGGATGAGCAGGATGGGAGGAGATAAAGGGGATACCGAAGGGATGGTGGAAGGAGTATGAAAAGAGGATGGGAAGGTGAAACGGTTAGACGGGAGAGGTGGGAGATGGAAGGGGTGATGCGGGTGGAATGGAGGGAAAAGGGAGGGACAGAGGAAATAGCGGGAGGGAGGATGGGACGACAAGAAGGGGAGAGGTGTATTTGAAGGGTAATGTAGTGAAGGAAAGAGGAAGAGTGGGTGAGGACAAATGAGAGGGAGAAGAGGGAGAAGCAATTATGCTAAACAAGGTAGGAGGGAAAACGCCCCTTCTCATCACCCCCCCCCCCTAAAAAATCAATCATTTACTTATTTTAAAAAGAAGAACAATGTTGGAAAATCGTGAAAAGCCAAACAAAATTAAATTTTCCTCTTATGAACTTGTCAGACCAAAAATTAGAAAAGAAAACAATGAAAAGAACTTAACATATTTGATTTAAATATGACGTATCCGCGACGTACTGTCCTACAAGAGACCTTAATTGTTCATTCAGGTATATCCTCCGGTATATCAGGTATATCATAATATATTCAGGTATAACCTACGCTCCAGATGCAACGAACATGAAGACTAGATAGGAGCAACTCTAGGTACATATATAGATCTTCCGGAGTAGACCTTTCTAATTCCAAGCGATTTGTAATTTAATATATGTCAAATTTTTTTTAAAAGAGCTGTGCAAGGTTCAGATTATGATTCTAGTGGGAAAGTGGAGTGGGCGGATTCTGGGGAGTGAGAAGAGAGCTGTCCAAGAGTCTAGAGAGGCCCAAAGAGCTCAAGGAAACAACAAAGTCATGATTCAACTATATTGTTAAATATGGTAACAAAAGTTCGAGTATGATTAAAAAATGGAGCATTTCCTTTCCTTTATTGCTTTCAGAGTGACTAACAATATCTCCTAGGAGCTATTGTTAGTATATTGATTTGAGAAAATTTAAAACGTTTCCAAAGCCTGGAAAAGTTCCACTACTTTGATCATATATTAATATATATGACACACACGATCCTTGGACCGAGCACAGCGAGGGAGGCCTCAAGCAGCAAAACTATGGGAGTCTCCCTGGCCTGCAGCAGCAAAACTATGGGAGTCTCCCTGGCCTGCAGCAGCCACACTGTGGGAGTCTCCCTGGCCTGCAACAGCAACACTGTGGGAGTCTCCCTGGCCTGCAGCAACAACACTGTGGGAGTCTCCCTGGCCTGCAGCAACAACACTATGGGAGTCTCCCTGGTCTGCAGTAACAACACTGTGGGAGTCTCCCTGGCCTACAGCAGCAACATTATGGGAGTCTCCCTGGCCTGCAACAGCAACACTGTGGGAGTCTCCCTGGCCTGCAGCAGCAACATTATGGGAGTCTCCCTGGCCTGCAACAGCAACACTGTGGGAGTCTCCCTGGCCTGCAGCAACAACACTGTGGGAGTCTCCCTGGCCTGCAGCAACAACACTGTGGGAGTCTCCCTGGTCTGCAGCAACAACACTATGGGAGTCTCCCTGGTCTGCAGTAACAACACTGTGGGAGTCTCCCTGGCCTGCAGCAGCAACATTATCGGAGTCTCCCTGGCTTGCAACAGCAACACTGTGGGAGTCTCCCTGGCCTGCAGCAGCAACATTATGGGAGTCTCCCTGGCCTGCAACAGCAACACTGTGGGAGTCTCCCTGGCCTGCAACAGCAACACTGTGGGAGTCTCCCTGGCCTGCAGCAGCAACACTGTGGGAGTCTCCCTGGCCTGCAACAGCAACACTGTGGGAGTTTCCGTTGCTTGCAGCAGCAGCAAGAACTTCCCAGGTGAGCAGCGCCTGAAGCACCATGAGTCTTGCTGGGCGGACGCATCAGAAGTCTTCCTGGCCTGCAGTACAAGAAGTTATCAAACCTCACTAAATTAAATTGTAAGTCGAATTCAATTTTGTAATCTTACTAAATCAATTTTGTTCTTAATGAATAGAGTAGACACAGTTCACAACTTACGAACAATGATGATTTAGTTAGTAAGGAAATTAGAATACGGCATAAAATTGAATTTAGTGAGTTTTGAAAACTTCTTTTACTGAAGGCCATTAAAAAATCTGGTTATGCAGATCAGAGAGATATTTAGTCATGCAGGCCAGACAGATATCTACTCCTGCAGGCCAAAAAGATATCTAGTCCTGCAGGCCAGAGAGATATCTAGTCCTACAGGCCAGAGAGATAGCTAGTCCTGAAGGTCAGAGAGATATCTAGTCCTGCAGGCCAGAGAGATATCTAGTCCTGCAGGCCAGAGAGATACCTAGTCCTACAGGCTAGAGAGATATCTAGTCCTGCAGGCCAGAGAGATATCTAGTTCTGCAGGCCAGAGAGATACCTAGTCCTACAGGCTAGAGAGATATCTAGTCCTGCAGGCCAGAGAGATATCTACTCCTGCAGGCCAGAAAGATATCTAGTCCTGAAGGTCAGAGAGATATCTAGTCCTGCAGGCCAGATAGATATCTAGTCCTGCAGGCCAGAGAGATACCTAGTCCTACAGGCTAGAGAGATATCTAGTCCTGCAGGCCAGAGAGATATCTAGTTCTGCAGGCCAGAGAGATATCTAGTCCTGCAGGCCAGAGAGATACCTAGTCCTACAGGCTAGAGAGATACCTGGTTCTGCAGGCCAGAGAGATACCTAGTCCTGCAGGTCAGAGATATATCTAGTCCTGCAGGCCAGAGAAATAACTAGTAATGCAGGCTACAGAAATATCTAATCCTGCAGGCCAAAGAAATATCTATTCCTGCAGCCCAGAGAAATATCTAGTCCTGCAGGCCAGAGAAATATCTATTCCTGCAGGCCAAAGAAATGTCTGGTCCTGTAGGTCAGAGAGATCCCTGGTTCTGCAGGCCAGAGAGATATCTAGTCCTGCAGGCCAGATATATATTTAGTCCTGCAGGCCATATATATATTTAGTCCTGCAGGCCATATATATATTTAGTCCTGCAGGCCAGATATATATTTAGTCCTGCAGGCCAGAGAAATATCTAGTGCTGCAGGCCAGAGGTATACTTAGTCCTGCAGGCCAGAGGTATACTTAGTCCTGCAGGCCAGAGGTATACTTAGTCCTGCAGGCAAGAGAAGTATCTAATCCTGCAGGCAGAGAAATATCTAGTCCTGCATGTCAGAGAAATATCTAGTCCTGCATGTCAGAGAAATATCTAGTCCTGCATGTCAGAGAAATATCTAGTCCTGCATGTCAGAGAAATATCTAGTCCTGCAGGCCAGGAACGTTTTGGGTGCTTCAAGCTAGGAAGGTTCCTGATGCAACTGCCATGAGGAGGAGGAGAAGAATAGTGAGACAAAGGGGTGTGAGAGTAGGAGAATAAGAAAGGGAAAGAAGAAATATTTCATGAAAATGTGGCCAATTTGTAAACTAGAATTAAAAGAGAACGAAAAACTTATAAGAGGAAACGTACGAAAAAAAGGGAGAATGAAGCATATGAAGAAATTGGAGGAGAAACAGAGGGAGAAGAGAGGTGACGGAGGAAAGAAAGAATGATGAACATACCGAAAATAAATGAGGATAAGCCGCAGTGAGGAGTGAGTGACGTGGAACCAGAGATGAATGAAACCATATCATGTTCTCTCGCATGTTTCATGAATATCCTTCAGTTAATATTGCAACCATGAATTACTATGAGAGGGGAGGGGGGGGGAGGGGAATCTCATCTGTCACTGTGAGTGAACTTCTTCAAGTGTGTAAGAGAGCAGTGACGAGGAACCTGAACCTCACGTGAGTGGAACCCCCAAGTAGGTTGCACATGGTTTACACAAGCACAACTACTGCCACACAGGGTGTATGGAGACATGTACCCCTTGGAAGCTTGTAGGTATACAGATGTCAGTACGGGGTGCATACAGGGACAGGCCATGACATGAGGTGCATACAGGGACAGGCCATGACATGAGGTGCATACAGGGACAGGCCATCACATGAGGTGCATACAGGGACAGGCCATCACATGAGGTGCATACAGGGACAGGCCACCACATGAGGTGCATACAGGGACAGGCCACCACATGAGGTGCATACAGGGACAGGCCACCACATGAGGTGCATACAGGGACAGGCCACCACATGAGGAGCAAACAGGGACAGGCCACCACATGAGGTGCATACAGGGACAGGCCACCACATGAGGTGCATACAGAGACAGGCCACCACTTGAGGTGCATACAGGGACAGGCCACCACATGAGGTGCACACAGGGACAGGCCACCACATGAGGTGCACAAAGGGACAGGCCACCACATGAGGTGCACACAGGGACAGGCCACCACATGAGGAGCATGTGTAGGGATCCCGGTAGGGAAAAGTTAAATAAAATCTCCAAACGTTGTCGTGTTTCAACACATTATCAAGGATTACAGACTGAGTAGATTAAGATCCGTTAACAAGTATGGAATACTGGAAGTGACATGAATAAATGGGGACAGGCAATTCCTTAATTGTTGAAATGAATTATATAAAAAAAACTAATTTTATACCCATCACAAATCACACAATAGTAAAGCTATCTAATTTATACAATCCTTGATTAATATTAGTATTATCTAATTTACAATTATTTATAAATGAAGATTCAATAATATTTCTCTACATAACTGATTTACACTCGACAATTTTCCATGAATTAGTCCAGTCAACTGATTGATTACAATTCCATAAATGATCAATGAATTGGACTCTTGATTTGTTCTTATAATATATTGTGCTCTTTTACTCACTGGTTTAGATGTTTACCTGTTTGTCCAACAAAAAACTTATTACAACGTTTATATGGAATTATATATACACAATGACTGCAATTACTTGGGGAGTTTTTTTTTAGTTTTTTTTTATTATATCAAGATTCTGAATTGCAGCATTGATATTAGTTTATTTTAATACGTTTGGAATTTCATTGAAGGAATCATGAAATGGCAGAATTGTTGTATTCTTCATTCTCCTTCGAAATAAAGAAAGTTTTACGAGCAATTTGGCTAACTTTATCAATATGTAACATTTTAAATTTAATCCGAGACTATATGCGACACTAATTTGATCATCTATAAACTCATGACTACATATCAATTAAAACATAGAAACGGGCCAAACACTTGGGGCTATCCTCACCTAAATTTTGCAGAGGGAATGGTCTGGGGAACGGAATAAACATAGACTGATCGGGGTCAGCATAATTCAAAACGGATCAACGTGCCTGGGGCACTTTCTAACCCCAACGAGAAGTTTGGCAATGCATACCAGCAACATGGCTAAATTTACTAGGTACAATATATATAAATATATATATATATATATATATATATATATATATATATATATATATATATATATATATATATATATATATATTAGTATATTTTGGTAGCAGTCTTTCCTGTATATATATATTATTAAATATGACCGAAAAAGTAAGATTAATAATTCTAACACGAATTTTCTCTATCTTTCGTACATTTCTTTTCACTGTTGGTGGTAATTCAAAAATCAATTCTCCAAAATTCATTTTTATTTCTAGTCTGACGCGACACTTGAGCGCGTTTCGTAAAACTTATTACATTTTCAAAGACTTTAGCTTACACATACACAACTGAATAGAACTTACACATCTCCAATTTGTTTATATCTACATTTGAGTGAGGTGGATGGGGTGAGGTGGCATTAATAGGGTATTAATTTCATCAACACAAGACAGAACACGAAACAATGGGTCCATATTTCTTGATGCTTCTATATTGGAGCGGAGTCTTGAGGTGGGTAGAATATAGTTGTGCATTAATTGGCTGTTGATTGCTGGTGTTGACTTTTTAATGTGTAGTGCCTCGCAAACGTCAAGCCGCCTGCTATCGCTGTATCTATCGATGATACAACAACACAGAAATCATCGATAGATACAGCGATAGCAGGCGGTTCGACGTTTGCGAGGCACTACACATTAAAAAGTCAACACCAGCAATCAACAGCCAATTAATGCACAACTATATTCTACCCACCTCAAGACTCCGCTCCAATATAGAAGCATCAAGAAATATGGACCAATAGGCTTTCTACAATCACTTCCATTCAATACCCATTGTTTCGTGTTCTGTCTTGTGTTGATGAAATTAATACCCTATTAATGCCACCTCACCCCATCAACCTCACTCAAATGTAGATATAAACAAATCGGAGATGTGTAAGTTCTATTCAGTTGTGTATGTGTTAACTAAAGTCTTTGAAAATGTAATAAGTTTTACGAAACGCGCTCAAGTGTCGCGTCAGACTAGAAATAAAAATGAATTTTGGAGAATTGATTTTTGAATTACCGCCAACAGTGAAAAGAAATGTACGAAAGATAGAGAAAATTCGTGTTAGAATTATTAATCTTACTTTTTCGGTCATATTTAATAATATATATATATATATATATATATATATATATATATATATATATATATATATATATATATATATATATATGTCGTACCTAGTAGCCAGAACGCACTTCTCAGCCTACTATGCAAGGCCCGATTTGCCTAATAAGCCAAGTTTTCCTGAATTAATATATTTTCTCTAATTTTTTTCTTATGAAATGATAAAGCTACCCATTTCATTATGTTTGAGGTCAATTTTTTTTATTGGAGTTAAAATTGACGTAGATATAAGACCGAACCTAACCAACCCTACCTAACCTAACCTAACCTATCTTTATAGGTTAGGTTAGGTTAGGTAGCCGAAAAAGTTAGGTAAGGTTAGGTTAGGTAGGTTAGGTAGTCGAAAAACAATTAACTTATGAAAACTTGGATTATTAGGCAAATCAG